ATAGATTTCCTTTTCTGGGTGAGCAGATGACCAGAATTTAAGCCATCATTTTCTCTCCCTATTTTTACCATACCACTTGACACAAGGTGCACTGAGAGCAAAAGGAAAGAGCAGAGCTACTAGAAATCAAATAAAAACTTCTGAGCTTTCTTCCAAAATAAATAAAAGAATGTTCTACTGCGAAGCAAGAGAACTTCCCTTTAGTTCGCCTGGCTGTTTGGACGAGAAAGCTCCGCATTCGGGCCACCGGTCATCACCCTGAGGAACCCTGCGAATTCACCTGGCCTTCTCCAGCAGGCCGGGCAGCCAGCCTTTCTGGCCTCTCTCGCTGGATGACTGTTCGTCCACCTCCCACGCGGCCTGGCACACTCCTGTGCTCTTTCCAGGGGCTGCAGACTGGAGCTGTCACCAGCTTCCTTTCTTAACTCTCAACAGTCCATCAGTTCAAAATCCACTTAGTTGGGAGGATTCCTGAAGACTGGATGATTAAACTGAAGAGAAGTTCCTTTGCAGTCATTGACTGTAAAATAATTATTTACCACATTTCTCTCTCTCTCTCTCTCTCTCTCTCCCCCATCCCCCGCCTTCTATTTGGCTGGGATACAAACCCCTAAAAAAAACAGCTGTAGGGCACCCTTGATTCAGATGTCTAGTTGAAGCTTTCTTTTACTCTAAGAAGGATATGTGTTTTTGAAGTTCATCGAATGACTTCTTTTTTTCCTCTCCTCACCCAACTCCACCTGCTGAGCTGCCCCATGTTCATCCACCCTACAACGCACACTCATTTTTTTTCATTTACTTGGGTCTCACTGAAATACACAACAGTAAGTCAATCAGTTATAAAGGCTTGTTAACACAAAACAAGCCGGCCATGGAGGTGCACCTGTAGTCCTGTCTACCCGAGAGAGGCTGAGACAGGAGGATCACTTGAGCCCAGGAGTTCCCAACCAGCCTGGACAACATAGCGAGACCCTGTATCTAAGAACAAAAAGCACAACGAAAAAATTGTTAATCACCAGAGGCTTGGAAAATGTTTAAGGACCCCTGAGCAGCCTGACTTAGCAAAAAGAAACACACATGCTGTCGTAAGGTGATTTGCGAGATGCTAGGAGAGCTGCCTCTAGCATCCTTACTGGCTGGTCATGAGTCAAAATTGGCAACTTTGATGTGGTCAGTGACAGAGTTCTTGGATTTGTCTGGAATCTCAACTCTGCCCCCTTAGTCAGGTGACTTTAACCAAGTCGCTTGTGCTCTCAGAGTCTCAGTTTCTTTTCCTGGAGAAAAGAGATAATAAAATCGACCTCAAGAGTTGTTGAGATGCTCATATGAGATAGGGTTTATAAAATCCTAAGAACACTTCAGGGTATGATTGGAAACATTTTTAAGTGATGATACTATCTATTATTGAGGAGTTGTAATGTATTAAGCTGCTATCCACTAGGTGCTACCCCAGCCTCAGTCAGTTTTGCTATTAGCTTTGCAAGATCAGAAACCGGAAGGGATTTTGCAAGGCAAAGATATTTGAGGTTTCTTAGGAGTACTCAGAATACCACTGGTATGAAAAGGGGCATGCTGGTATTAAAAAAATGTGAAATGTGTGGTCAAGAAGGAGGCTGGAAACATGTTGAACGTGATTAACTATTTCTCAAGTATGTCCGCTTTTTTACTTTTCCTTTCTGGAGTAAATAATAGAGTTGGTACATAAGTAATGAATGCCTTTCCACAAGGATCTGCTCGGCCTCATGTCTGAATATATATTGCACATCCACAGTCCTAGCACAGACAAAGCTAGCTCACTGTCATTTCCTGTACAAGGAGTCTCATGATCTGGACTCTACCTTCCTCCCTGCTTTCATCTTCTGTAAATTGCTCACATTATAACTCTGCAGCAACCACACAAATATACCTGCGGTTTGGGAAAGTAGTGACTTTTATATCGTTTTACATTTTCCTGCCTGAGCACACAGAGGATCTCCTTACCTGTAGTATACTAACCTGTTCATTACTATAGCTAATGTCTTCTGATCCTTTAAAACTTAGTTACAATTTTTTTTTTTTTGAGTGAAGGTTGCACTCTGTCACCCAGGCTGGAGTGTAGAGGCTTGATCACAGCTCACTGCCACTTCCACCTCCTGGGTGCTCCTTCCACCTTAACCTCATTAAGCTGAGACTACCGGCACACATCACCACACCTGGATAATTTTTTTGTAGAGCAAAAGTCTCACTATGTTGCCCAGGTGATCTCGAACTCCTGGGCTCAAGCAATCCTCCCACCTTGGCCTCCCAAAGTGCTGGGATTACACCCCCAAACCTGTCCCTGTTTTTCTTCGAAATTTAACTTTTCCAGACCATTTCTACCCCAGATCTAGGCACGCCTGTGACTAACTTTACCAAACTAATCCACTGATTACTAACTAACTAGCTCATTCTTTTCCACTGTTCTGAGGGCTCTTCGCGGGCCAAGACTATAATGCCCTTGACTTTCTCTGCACGGAAGACTGCCTGTTTGTTGGCACAGAGTACACGTTCAGTAAATAAGTGACAAATGAGTACGCGTCAGCTGAAGTAGTGCATATAGTGGCTTCTACGACAAATCATTTTTCAAAACCTTATATCACAGGATATGACTTGTGTTCATTTTAAATAAATGAAACTCAGAAGAATTAAATCGGAATCTCAATCTCTACTCCCTCCTAAGAATGACGGAAGGAACTCTGATCTCTTCTCGCCTGGACTTTGCTCAACATGCCACTCTGGGGCTATCCACGGCGAAGCAGGCATCCTTACCAGGGAACGTTCAGTTCTTTTCCTTGACCGTTGGTAGATGAGCTGTTGAACAAGACCTATATCTAATAATAGATCATGATGTCCTGATAGAGGTCGCTTGGCCACAGAAAGTGGCACTAGATGGAAAATGTTTCCCTGGCTCTCAAGGCAAGGGAAGGGTTCATAAAACAGATGAAAACTTCGGTGGGGATAAAGGGGAGGGTGAGGACATTTTGAAGAGTCCCTCTGAGCAGAACGTCGATGACGAAGTACAATCATCACATGAGGGGTCCAGAGGCTGGTGAAATCGTGATCAGGTCAAAGGCAGGGGAGGTTGGACTCTGAGTGGAAGACGTGACTGGTGGAATGTTCTGGCAAGAGGGTGGAGAGGCCCTTCGACACACGGACGTGGCGCGATGCCATTGTCCCCACTGCCCTGTACGTTGTCCCTTAGGAAGGGGAGGCACTGGCAGTGGTCAGCACACAAGTACCCTACAAAGAAAGGGTGACACTGTAGGACAAACACAGGGAGCAAAGGTCAAGAATTAGCTGTGAAATGAGGTGAGAGTCAAAGGGAAGAAAGGCACATACTTCCCCTGTTTGCCGACTTTTTACTTTATATTCTACCACCTATATTCGCTTCTCTGATTATACACAACAAAGTGAAGGTGTTTCCATTCAAGTCTATCAATCTGCAGATAGTGTCTATTATGATGCATAGTGGAGGTGAACTTATAAATCAAAGAAATGAGTGAATCTAAGCTGCTGGGAGCAGAGGATTTGAATACGCTTTCCTGACAACACAACCATCTAACGCTCCCACAGATCTCCCAAGCCCGTAGATGCCATTTTGTGATGATGCTTCCTTGGCAAAGATCTTCCGAATTCATCTGTTCGGCTAATTACCGCAGGCTGTCTACTGCACCAGGAGTAGGTCTTAAGGGATATAACGTTTAAAGACACCTGGTCTCCACCGGGGATACAAATTATATTTGAGTTGCAGGCATCCATAATGATGAGACAGAATTCACTGCAGGGTAAAATGGGGGCTTAAAGAATGCAGAAGTCTGTTTCACTTCTGGTCAGCTGCATCTGATTTTATCTACATGAAGAGTCAGGGGTTTGAAAAAGAAGCTCAGATAAGTTGCTTTGTGGCCCGAGCTGCTTCATGGTGTTCTAAAGTGCTGGTCCACGTCTCACAGGACACAACAGAGCCAAATGTTAGGTCTTGTGCTTGAAGAACTAAACTTTTTGCTTCGCCTTACTTTTTGTTTGAAACAGTCCCTGCTGTTCACAATTTGAACAGTGAAAGAAACATACTTAAAGAAATCCTAACTGGATTGAGACAAGCTTGACATAAGAATTCTTAGTTGTAACTGAGCAGCATTTGATGAAGCAAGCAAAATTGCATAAGCCAAACTCAAAGAATGCCTTAAATTCAGTCAAAACAAATGTGTATTTGGAAATGTCATTTTCATAATCAATACAATGAAACACTGACAGTTCTTCTGGAAGACAAAAGTAGACGTATGGGCATGGAAACCTCCAACTAAATTCATTTTATAGAATTAAGTTGGTGTAGGAGATTACGAGACGCTCTGGTTGCAGATACACCTGACTTCAAATTCTCAGCCTGTCACTTGCCAGACATGTGTGGCCTTGGGGAAATTATTTAACTTCTCTGTAATAAACATTCCTCAACCTTAAGGAGCAAAAGTGAGAAAATTATATGAAATTTAAAATTGTTGTGAGGATTTAACAAACGCTCAATCAACATACATTTCCTTTTCTATGTTTTCATTGGAAGCGAGAGGAAGGCTGGTGGTTGACGATTGGGAGCAAGGAGAAACAGTCTCTAACACACATCACTATTGTCCCTATGTCTCCCATTCTCCCCCTCGCAACTGACATTCCACGCATCATGGAAATCCAGGCTCAGCTGCAAAGTTCAAGGCCACATGCCATTCCTTCGTTTGAAATGGAGCTTCCGAAAATATGAAGGTGATGGTGTGACCACATGCTATGTTATGAACCTCAGCGGTGGCTCTGGAAATACTAGCACTGGCCACTTTCAAAGTCAAACAAACAAGCAAACAGACAAGCAAGCGCCTTAACCATTAGGGAGCTCTAGTTCAAATGGAGTTTCTCGTTCGTGTCCTTCTCGCTTTGGAAAAATGCTGTGCATCAGTCAAGGTGCTTTGTCGACACGACAGAAAGGCTGAGATTCTCATTACCATTCATCTTTGTCAGCGTCACAGTTGCAAAAGTATCGGACGTCCAGGCAACGCTCGTCCAGGCCGCATTCGCACTGCTGGACCCCAGGGGGGGACCCTCCCCAGTAAGGGTGCCGTTCATTGGACCGCCCAATCCACCAGGTGAAGGGTGTGCCATCTGAAAAACAAGACATTTCACAAGGCAGGGTGAGGCGGGCCTGAAAGAGCACAGGGGGTTGTCACAGAAAACGAGACAAAAATATTTTGAAGACCATTTTCATATTCTTCAAAATGTTATATATATTATTCATGTACGTATAAGTCTATCGTTTCCTTCCGTCCCTTCCTCTCTCCCTCCTTCCTTTCTTCTTCTCACTGGCATTCTTCATTTCTTTCTTTTTACCTTTTGTTCTTTGGTTTTGTCTTTGTCTCTCTTTCTTATTCTCTTTCTATATATATATCTCTCTAAATTTATAAATTTCTCTCTATATATCTAAATTTGTGCACAGATGCTCATTCATAAATGCAAACATTTACATTAAACAACATTTTTCTCATATAAACAACATTTTCATCTAAAGTATTTCTATAGTCAAAAGTTGATAAAGACAATGGTCAGAGACAGGGTCACAAATTTAAATTCTTACCAGATAAGGCAAGTATTACAATGAAGTAAATCGGGCTAGATTTTAGACAAAAAAGATAATATGTGGATTTTAAAAGTAATAGTTTCCTTTTAACACTGCCAAAGAGAAAACAACAGCACCAGGGTCAAAAGTATCCTCCCTCTGTCCTCAGTTTCTGGCAGACAACGAGGTGGGTAGAGACAGGTGAAGAAGAAAGTCTTGGCTCAGTCCGAGGGCTAGTCCTGACCGACCCCCCACTGATTTTTGTCATGATAAGACTGGCCCCAGGGTTACCATATCTGCTGATTTTCTTTTCTAAAACAAGTCCTAAGTTCCAAATTCAAAGATTTGGGGGGAAAATAGAACAAAACCTTGTGAGGCCCAGGAATGTGTGGACCAAACAAACCCTTATGGCCATGTTTAACACAGTTAACCCATCAAAAGCTGGTATATAACTAGTGATTTCCAGTTTATATAGTTAACAGTAAACCATTTATGAATCTTGTCCGTGTTAGTTTCTTTCTTTATAACGTTTAGTTTAGTAAAACCTGTTGGATTTTCTTTGATGATTGGGAATTCTTCAGCAGCTTAGAATCAGCATTCAGAAGGCGATGCCCTATCCAAAACAACATGTGCAGATAGAAATGGAGGGGTCATACACCATTAGGTTGGAGGGTGTGAAACTTAGGTCCCCCTTGGTAATTGCTGTCTTGTTTTTGCTTGGCATGCAACAAATGCTTGAAACATATTTATTTTTAAAATGAAACTAATATCTACTAGGGACCGCTTTAGATCATTTACAATTTTATTTTATTTTATTTTATTTTTTTCAGTTGGAGTCTCACTCTGTCGCCCAGACCGGAGTGCAGTGGCTGCTCCCGGCCACCGCAGCCTCTACCTGCTGGGCTCCGGCGAACCTTCCGCCTCAGCCTACCAAGTAGCCGGAATTACAGGCATGCGCTAGCACGCCTGGCTGATTTTTTTGATTTAATGTAGGGATGAGGTCTCGCCGCCCAGGCGGGTCTCGAACCCGTGGGCGCAGGCAATCCACTCACCTTAGTCTCCCAAAGGTGCGGGATTACAGGCTGAGTCACCAAACCCGGCTCATTTACAATTTTAAAGTAGGATAATTGTATCGATCTAAGGGTGTTATTGGGGTTGACATTTTGCCTAATCGAGATTCCGGTTTACATACAAATCCTTATGTGCAAGCATATAATTTACTAATAATCTCTATATACAAATAGCAACAACGTTCTCTGAATTGCCTCATTGTTCGCATCCTTATAAAAGTCACCAAGTCACATCGGAGGAAGGAAGACCCTCGAAAGTAGCAGTCCCCAGACATTCTGACATCCGGGACTGGTTTCATAGAAGGCAATTTTCTACAGACGGGTAAGGGGGTGGGTGGTCAGGTAACCTAGATCCCTGGCATGCTCAATTCACAATAGGGTTTACGCTGCCATGAGAATGTCATGGTCATCCCCCATCTGACAGGAGGCGGAGCTCCATTCACCACCACCCACTTCCTGCTATGCAGCCTGGTTCCTATCAGGTCCAGATCTAGAGCTTTTCAATGAGAAAGACATAAGGAAAATGTTATAAAAAGCAGAAGCATGTTGGGGCGCTGATTCACAGAACAGACATCCTGAAAGATGACAGTCACCCCAACACAGCACTCTGCATTCTGCCTAAAATAATTTGAGCTTCTTTATTATTTTTAAAGCTAGAATTCTGGTGAGAGACATCTGTTAACCAGTGTCTCCTTTTTAAGGATAATTATCAACGATATGCATCATTTTTGCTCGTTTCAAATCGTTATAAAACATTGTAAAATACCTCACATGAATTGCTGTCTTCCTAAAGCCCACCTGGGTAAGCCACACTCACATGACCTAGAGTTCTGGCAGATTTATTTAGAGCACAGAACACTTTCAGGACCGCGGTAGGCGGTCTCCCCTGTGTGTGAGTCCAGACAGCATAAAGGTGAAACATTTCGTATTTGAATATATTTACCAATTCTGACCTTGGGTACAAGAATGGGAAGAAATGTGTTGCCCATCCCTCCTTCCAGGGGCCCGGGCCTCTCGTCCCAGAATCTAGAATACAGACTACATAGTCAAGTCCCATGGCATCATAAGTTATTTTGTGTATGAACTATCAAAATAACCATAAGTTATTTTGTGTATGAATTGAGCAATCAGTTTGTACACAGCTCCTGGTGGATATGTTGCCTCTAGTAGTTTCCACTCTTATGGGGTGTCTTTATCCCCTCACAGATTCATTAGTAGCCCAAGGTCTCTTTTGTTTTGAATCCATCAACGTCTTGTACCACTTGGGCCTATTGGTGCTTCTCTGCTCATGCGTGGCGGAATTATTTCAAAGGGTGACAGTTGTTTCAACTGATTGTCAACAAACAAGGAGAAAGAAAGGGGAGAGGGCGAAAAATAGTAGATAGATAGATAGATCATATCTCTCACTATATATGAGAGCAGGTGGGTTATTGCTAAATTTTCTTCTCAGGTGCAATATATTCGTACCTCTGTCCCTGTAGAGTACTAGAGAGATACAGCAATTAAGGAAACTGAGACTCAGACAGGGGACTTGGTTTGCCTTAATTCTTGACTCTAACCGTTGGGTCAGGAAGACAAACTACACACTATGTACAAATTTTGGTTAATGCAGAAACTGATTTTCTTTTTCTTCCAGCAGAAATTTCTTTCAAAAGTGAAAGAACAAAGCAGAATTCTAAACATTTTATTTTTAAATAATGTGCATTCATCCAACAAATATTTAACAAGGCTCTATCATATTTCAGGTTCTATTCTATGTTCTTGGAGTAAATCACTTAGCAAAACAAACTAGAACAAAGAAACAAACAAAACGTGCCCTCCCCGAGTTCATATTGTAATTAGAAGAAATAGACAATATTAGTCATAAAGTAATTTAGTATTTAGAAAGGGATAAGAGGTATGGGGGGAAAATGCAGCAGCCTAGGGGGTTCAAGTGTGCTGTGAAGAAGGGCATATTGCAATTTTAAATCATACTAGGCTTGGGAGACCTGATGAAAAGATTCTTTAAACAAAACTCAAAGGCTGAGAGCAAGTCACATGTGGCTCTCTGAAGAAGGGCATCACACACAAAGGAAGTAGACAAGTGAACGCCTAAGAGAAAATCAGGACATTGTCTAGAACCTGCAACCAGTTATTTTTTTGTGTTTTTTTATGTTTTTATTTTAAATATGTGGGGTACAATTCAGTGTTAGGACGGTAAATGTTCATTATACAGGTACCCTTGTCGATGACGTGTGCCCCTCCCCCAGGCAATTTCCCACTACTGCCAATCCCTTTCTCATGGTACTACAATGTGAGGACACGTGAGGACACGTGATACTCGGTTCTTTGTTTCTGTGATAGATCACTCGGTATTATAACCTCTAAGTCCATCCAAGTTGCTGTAAAGTTCATAATTTTCTCCTTCTTTACAGCTGTGTAATATTCCATCATGTATATGAACCACTTTTTTTTTTAATCCAGTCCACTTTTGATGGGCAGCATGCCTGTTTCCATGTTTTTGCTATTGTGAACAATGCTGCATGCAATAAACGTGCATTTGCAGGTATCTTTTTCAGAGAGTGATTTGAGTTCCTTTGGGCATATTCCCAGTAGGCGGATTGCAGGGTAGTAAGGAAGGTCAACTTTTAGATCTTTTAGGAATCACCACACTGTTTTCCACAGAGGCTGCACTGGCTTACACTCTCACCAACAGTATAGAAGTTTTCCCTTTCACTGCATCCTTTCAAGCATCTGTTGTTTTTTGAGTTATTGATGATGTGTGTCCAGGTTTTCAAACTGCAATTTTCAAAATGTTGTTGGAGCTCTAATCAGAATGTCTAACAGAGAAAAAACAGTAGCAGAAAACAGATCAAATAGAACTTAGACGCTAAGAATTCACTCTGACAGTTTCAGGCCAAAGTGTATTCATTAGGAAGACACTAGACTGCAACAGGCTCATGAACATAAGAGAAATGGGCTTGAGGTTAAATACAACCACGCGACAGGACTGGCTGATGAGAAAGTCCCATCCAGCTGGCTGACCCTGCACACCAAAGGCCAAGAGACCCTGGGAAGATGCTCGACCTGCACCATGACCCCTTTCCTTCAAGGATCCCCGCCCACAAACCTGTTGCCTCACACCAAGGTTTCTGGGTTCCCGGCATCTGCAGGATAGAATCTCCTGGTGGAGCCCGCTTCCTGGGACTGGGGCCAGCAGAGACTTCTCACAGGTGGGACCTGATGGGTGAAGCACAAGTCTCGTGCCCGAGTCCCAACTGGAAGGGAGCCTGGGACTTGAAATCTGCATTTGCTGTGGAGCATTTTCCTAACACAGAAACAATTCAAATGAGGATAGGCAGGCATGAAGAAGGCACATGTCCATTCGGGAGCTGAACAGACACCTAAAAATCACTTAATGGATCAATACTTCAAAGCTCTGAAGTCTCCATTTCTTCTACCAAATGCAGTTATTAATTCAAATCCATACCTCTTCAGGG